GACGCAGGCGCGCAGGGGAGCCGGCGCAGGGCCCACCTCTCACTCGAGCGCTTCCTCCTCCCCCGCGGGGGCCAGGTCTGGACCCCGAGGGCTGTCTTCGCTGCTTTGCTTCCTGCTCAGCGAACAGAAAACCAGCATTAAGGCTCAGAGAAAGGACAGCAAGGCTCCAACCGCGGGCCAACGGCCCCTCCCCGGACAAAACACTGCCTTCCCGGTGCTCTTCTTATGGACCGGACCGCTGGGTCCGGAATGGAGCTCAGCAGTGCCGCGTCTGCCCGGCAAGCGCTGAGTCCCTGAGTTTCATTTCTGGTACCCAGAAAAAGTGTTATTATAGACATCTCAGGTAGAAACGGCATAGGCAGAGCTGGGCCTTGAGACACATCTGCCGGAGACCAGGCCTCAGGACAAAGACAAAACAACAGGCCCGTACACATCCTCAGAGGACAAACACCCGGCCTGATGAAGTCTAGACAGGTATCGGGCACCCCGGTGGGTGACCAAGACCTCTGGACCTGCCACTTCCTTAAAAAAGTCCTTGTTCCTGCCTTGCACACTTGTCACATGTCTTGTTCCCCAAGGGACCACTATCTCCGAAGCGACTGTACTTGCTGCCTTATTGGTTGTTCACAGCTTTACCCACACTGTACCCCATGGGTTTTGCTCTATAAAACGTCCCCTGAAAAGCGGGGTCCTTGGCTACTCACCTGGGACCCTTCCTGCCCCTAAGGAGCTATCCTCTCTCTCAATAAACATCTCCTACTCTTAACCTCTGTCATTCCTAGAATTCATTCTTTGATTTTAGAGAACATGAACTCAGTGTGTCAGACCGCTAACAGGTGGGAATTGTGGAATTTCCCGTATTTCACTTGGAGGCCCTAGTTCATCTCCTGTATCATCCCTGTGTCACTTTCAGGTGCTCTCTCCCTTTTTTCGTGCTCACGTGAATTCTTCCAAGGAGACTTTGCATCTCCTCTGTACACAAGAAGTACCATTTACCAAAAATTGTAAGGAACCGTGAGACACGCAAAGCCGTTTACCTGACACCGGAAACCACTGCATGATCACAAGAAGGCGGTGAGGGTCTGGAGCCCCCGCTTTCCTTCCCCTTAGGCTGTAAGCCCTTCAGGGCAGGAGAGTGACAGCACCATCAGCGCCCCAGGAGGGATCACGAGCCCCTCTGCCCCTGAAGAGCCTCCCCATCTCTGGAGCTACTTAGGCTGACAGCTGTGGGGTGACAGCTGCTTGGGGGTTCAGGAGGTGGGTGGGGGACTCTCTAAGGAGGGGCCCAAGCTCCTCCCCAGCCTCAAGCAGTCTGTCCTAGCAAGCAGAGTGGCCGAACCTGTCAGCCACCACCCACCATTCCCAACCACAACCTCCACATCCCATCCCCGTCCCTATACCGGGGCTGGGAAATCGCAGCATCTGTGCAGTCCGAGGAAGAAACTCTTTTATCTGAATATCACTGACTTACTTTTCTGATGAAGAATGAGAGTAAAGGCCTCAAGGAGGAGAGGACTGTGGCATGGCCGCACCACAGACAGCAGGCCTTGGGACAGAGCCCCCAGGACCGGCCACACTCTCTAGGCTCCTGGACCCGGCCTCCCCTGCCTGGGCACAGGCAGGTAACACCAGAGTTGCTGGGTCTTGCACAGGCCTTGAAGTTTTGATCTCATTGAAAATAAGAAAGAAACACACCCCAGGCTTGCCCACTGCCAGGAGGCAGCCCAGCTCTGACAGACTCTGACAGGGAGGGAAGAGGCACCGGGCCAAGGAAAGCCAAGCCCCCCAGGCTCCCTCGCTCTGAAACTCGGGCAGGCTCCGACCTGGTCACTGGCTACCGAGACAAGGTCTGGGGACCAGGTGGTAACCAGGCGGCTCTCAGAGGCTGCTAAAGACTGGACCTGACGGCTACTGCTAGTGACTTCCTGCTCTGCTCCAGAGAGCTGGGCTTCTCTCAGAAGCACGAACAGTTCCCAAACAAGGGCTCCTAGATGACCAGATCAGCCTCTGGCTCCTAAGACAGGTGGTCAATGAACTTCCTCCCCAAAGCCAACTCCTCACGAATATAGATGGCTTCCGCCCGTACACAACATCATTCATTTGTGACGGCCAAAGAGTGGGAAAGGTGTCCATCGGGATAAATGGACAAAGAAGGTGGAGCCCACCTGCAGACTGGAATACTACACAGTCATAAACAGGAACAAAGCACTGCTCCATGCTGCACTGTGGATGAACCTTGACAACATAACACTCAGTGAAAGAAGCCAGGCACACAAGGCCTCGTACGGGATCGCTCCCTTTGCAGGCAATGTCCAGAATGGGGAAAATCAAGGAAAACAGAAAGTGGGTTAGTGGGTGCTGCAGCATGAGGGAGTCGGGTACGAACAGCTCAGATGCAGGGTTTCTCGGGCTGATGAAACTGTTCTAAAACTGACTGTGGTGCTGGCTGCATAACTATCAACATTAAAAGTTGTCGGATTGCACACTAACTGGGTGCACTGTATGGTACGTGAATTATCTCTCAGTACAGCTAATGGAGAAATGCCGGGGGTGGAATCCAGCATTTCATGCATGCTGGGCAAGTGCTCTACCACTAAGCTATAAGCCCAGCTCGCAATATAGCTTTTTAAATTTTTGTCCATTGTGGTTTTTTCGAAACAAGGTCTCGCTACACAGTTCAGGCTGATCTTGAACTCATCATGTAGCCCAGGCTGGCCTCAAACTTGTGGTGATCCTCCTGCCTCAACCTCCCCAGTGCTGGGATTACAGGCTTGTGCCACCACGCCCAGCTAATAAAGCTGTTTTTAACAACAGAAATGACTGCCCAAAGGACAGAGCCACATCAGGCCCAGTGAGAAGGACTACTGAGCCTCCCCCCGGCAGTGGGCACTTGGGGGAAAAGTGCGAGCATGGCTGTCAACCAGGAGGTGCTGGTGAGACTGCCTTAGACGAGCTTTGGAGGATGACCGAGAAGGAAGAGGTCCCGATCTGCTCAGATCGGAGGACCTTACTCCACCTTGCCTCAGCAAGAAGGCCCTCACTTTCTAGGTCTGAACAAAGGTGGGTGCCGGGGAGCCCTAGGGAGGAGCACAGAGCACAGGCCAGCAGACCCAGCGTGCATTACGGCCGGGCGCTGGGGGAGTCCACAGGCATTCCGCTGGAGCGCCATGCACCACAGCCCCAGCCCACATGCACGGCCACCACCGGGCCCAAGCTCCTGGATGCCCTCATTCTGACCCGGGGACCGGAGGCTCACAGCGAGCCTGGCACAGCGGCCCGGCGGGAAGGGCGGCACCAGGGT